TGGTTCAGAGGGCTTTAACAGGAGAGCACATGAGAGTCTCTCTCTCTCTGCTCTGCCATTTTCTGCCATGTGAAATCCATGCATTGCTGTAAAGCCACCACCAAAGAAGACCTTCACCAGATGTGTTCCCTGGACTTTGGACTTCTCAGCCTCTGAAATTGTAAGCAATAAATTTTTTCTTATAAATTACCCAGTCCAGGTATTTTGTTATAAGCAACAAAAATGGACTAATACACTCCTTGTCAAAAATGAGGCCAAATTTGTGTGATCTATAAAGTTCATTAGAGCTTTGACTTCCTATATTCTTTGATTCCAAGACATCTGTAGTCCTGGGTTACTTAGATTTGTTCTGAAACTCTCAAAAGAGCATGGTGGGCTTGCACACTGAGCTGGAGCCCACGTGGAAGCCCCAAACACTTGCAGGGAGTACAGTTATCGTATCTCGCTCCTGCCCTGGGTGAGGGCACACCAGGCTTTGCACATTCTCTTAGAATGAGGACTGTATTCCTGTTCCTCAGTCCACAAGGCATGAAAACTTAATTGTGGTTTAAAGATGGAGTCAAGTCAACAAAGGAGAAGAAAGGGGAAGAAAAGCAAAACGGCCCCAGCGTGAGGCCAAACTCTACACCGCCTCTCCCATTCTATATATATCAAGACTCGTGTGAGGAGGAGGCAGGGAGGAGGCTCTGGCTTGCTCCCTGGTGACACATGTTATGATGAGAAAAGATCCCTTCATTATGTGTCCACTTACTGCTCATTCAAACATGCCACAAAGTGGAAGTAATTAAGGAATCTGTGTAAACCTTGGTGCGACCTTTCTCAGTGCTCCCACACACGGCCTCGCCACATATGTGGGCACGTGGTAACACCAGCCCTTGCTTCCCTTGGCTTTCCAAATTAAGATCTGATGGCAGCCTGTGCACTGCCCTGTGTTGACAGCAACCAAAGGGAGTCTGAGCAGATGGGACCAGCACTGGGCTGTCACTGGTAGCACCAGGTGGGCTAGGGGAGGGTCAGGGCACATGTACAAACACCCGCAGGCTGGATACTCCTACACTTGCCCCAGGGCAGAGGCAGATGGAGTAGCTGGCTGTGGACAGCCCTCAGGACATATGAAGGCTGTCACCAACACCCTAGCTCTATGGCAAGTCACCATTGGAAATGCTCTTCCTGCTACATAAAGATTATAAAGCCTTATTTGGACATTTGGACTCTATTTCCAGAGTCCAAGCAGAGAAAGGAAGTGGTATAAGGCTGAGAAAGCTCTTCAGTCTTCTCCTGCTCCTCTCAAGGGCCCTGCCCCCCGAGACCCCAGATGCAGTGAGTCTGGTGGCCAGAGGGGACAACACTGGGAGAAGAGCAGAGAAAGACTGGTTGCTCCTCCTAAGCTGGTAGGCGAAGGAACAGGTTCACAGAGGAGCAATGGGTGCCATGACCATTTACTTTGGATTCCTTACTCAGTCACTCAATTCATTCCTTCACCAAACACTGATCACCAGACACTGTGCCAGTGATAGGGAACAAGATGAGTTCATGGGCAGGGAGGGAGGATATGTGGGCTTCAAAAAAAAGTCCCCTGCCTTCTGTCATCTACAAATTGTCAAGGATATAACATGATCAATAACTGGGAAATAATTGTGCTGGATTCCGTGAATGATATAAACATATGCTATAGTACTCTCCAAGGCACCCATTTCTCCTTCTACAAGGTGGGGGGAATGTCCCAGTGCCCACCTTGTGCACAGGGCCTAGCGAGTGAGGCAGGACTGACTGGCTGCCTTGTGGACCCTATAAGGGCAGGTCACCGGGTGGGGCTTCTGGAATGCCAGTGAATTCTGTAGGTAAATCTCAGTGGAGTGAGTCCCGACTGAATTCCTTGAAGGCAGGTCAAAGTCTTACTCATCTTTTACCCTAGTGTCAAGCAAGCATTTGGCACAAGGCAAACACTCATGAATGGTTGTCGATTGAATGAAAGAATACATGAATGAATGAGTCACTTCATGCCCTGAGTGAGTTTGGGAGTGGGAGAGCAAGACATAAAATGGAACCCTTCGGTTGTCTCCTCTTCTCGATTTTCTTCAAGCTCAGGAGACTTCAGACTCCCTTCCGAAGCAGGCAAACCCCAAATCTCTCTCCCCATCCAACCCATCAAAGAGCTCAGTGTATTTTCAGCAAAGATGGCTCACCATGACAACTAGCTAGCGCCAGAGCAGAGGTAGCATTGTGAAACTTGTTCCCTTCCCTAGGAGCCTTGGAAAAAGCTGGTGCTTCTCACTTTCCCGTATAAAGCCCACCTCCACAGGTTCACTGGCACTCTGCAGAACAACCCAACCCCACAGAACAACCCAACCTGTGATCTATCACACACTTTCACATCTAGCCGGTGAGGGTGGTCTACCAGCTGACAAGCCTGGGGGATTCTTAATGTCAGTTTGCAGCAGGTGTTAAAAGTAAAACTCCTCTCACCAACTCATCGGATAATAATTATGAACGAATGCCTGGTTAGGTGGATGGAGATCATTAGGCTCCAACAATGTGGCATCCACACAAGGAAGCCATTACACTAACAAAACTCCAAATGTAAAAATAGAGCTCTACATAGTTTCCTGGTTACCGCATTCTAATTCTGATGGTTTTTCAGTGCCAGTGACATGTGGTTTCCTTTTGTCCCCTGCCATGCCCTCATTCCCCTGCATGTGTACTACTCGTGGGAGGAGATGGCTTACTTTTTAAATGCCCAGTCCCTACCCCAAAACCCTCCTCTGCAAGGCTTGCCATGGAAGAGTGAGTGTTGCTGTTCTGTTTCCGGGGTCACAGTGGCTCCAATATCACTGCTGTAGACCAGGCCCAAAGAGGGGTCAAAAGGGCCAGCCCCCAGGCCAAGAGGGCACAGAGAAGACAGGACTGGCATACCATCAGTGCCAAGTATCTCAGGATCAGGCTGTCCTAAGCCCCAGCTTTGCCCTGTGGAGCAGGGCACTGAGATGAAGCTGTAAAAGAAACCTGAACAATCTCAGGTTTTCCAAAAGCAAATTCATTGTTTTGCTGGGGCAAGTTTCCCTTTGTCTGGGAAACTAAAGGATAGAGCTGGTTCCTTGCAGTGTGCAGTCTCGTGTACCTCTGGTGTGGATTATAGCCATCCTCAAGGTATTTTTTTTTTAATACTGCAAAAACATCAGCACACATCCCTAAATGCTGCTGAGAGTTTAGAATCTGACCCACTTAGGACCTGACTCATGGTACACAAGGCATTCACTCATTCACTCCTCATTCATTCAGAGACAGTGAGCACCTGAGCATGCGCTAGGGACAGGTGGTGCCTCTGCCCTTAAGGAATATCACTGTATTTGGGTTTCAAGAGTCTTTTTGGTGAATCTCATGCTCTTGAGGCTCAGTTAATAGTACTACGTGCATCAGGTGATATGTTGTGTTTACAGGATGACACACAGAAGGGGACACATGTGGAAGCGGCCTCTTAAAAGTGGTTCTGGGTGAGGAAGCAGTTGTCAGGCAGCCAGCCAGGTGGCTCTGGACTGCCTTACAGGTTCCCAGGACCCTCACCGTTAACCTGGGCTTCACTCAGAACCTGCCTTTCACTCTCCCAGCCTGTCACCTTTTTGTCACATCCTCACACATTACACACACACAGTGGCTCTCACAGCCTGAGCATCAGCTAAGCATGGCACCCACTTGCCATTTTCTGTCCTGACCCTGAAGTGCTCCTGGATTTGAAGGACCAACCCTGGGTTGAGTCAGGCATGGCGGAAACTCCAAGTGCAATTCACAACGATGTCTCATTGTCAAGAGATGGACCTGTTTAGCCTCCATGTGGAAAGTGAGGAGAGTTCCAGCCCAGTGGCCCCCACCCCAGAAGGAAGCCTTTCCCCCAGAGCACTTACCCATGCAGGAGAAAGTCTCCTCAGTCCTGCTGGAAGGGCTGGAGTAGCCATCAAGGGCCCAGCTCCCCTGGGGAAGGGGGCCAGTTTCCTGGTCTGTCTGCAACCTGTGGGACCAAGAAGGGGTGGTCACTTATGGCGGAGGTTATTTTGGCCTGAAGTTCCTCCAAGGGGCTGAGAAACCCTCTCAGAGCACAGAGCTTGGTTCTTCTTCTCTGCTGGTGCCCAGCACCACTGGTGGACATGTGCACATGTGTGCATTCCTGCAGGCTGCAGCCTTCTGTGCAAAGCTGAGCCAAGGAGAGAGCCCCTGGAGAGCCCCTAAGGGCATGCAGATACCTGATGCTAGTCGCCCGTTGGTCTTCTACCCATTTCCAGCAACACATATCACCCACAGGGCAGAGGAATCCCCCAGTAATTCCCGGCCTTGGGTCCTTTGTCTTGCTATGTCCTTGCCCTCAGGATGTGCATGTATGTACAGCCGTGTGTATACACATGGAAAAGACCTCCCTCTGAAGGTGAGGTCACTGACTCCTGGTAGCTCAGGGGGCACACAGGCTTCCTTGGGCCCGCTCATTGTGCAGGCAGCTAGGAGGTCAAGAAAGAAGGAGTAGGCTCAGCTGGGGTCACTGAGACTCTTGGGAGGACAAATCCATGCTGGGCCAGTTATGGCATCAGGAAGGAAGGGTGAGGCCTCTGGGCACCCGCTCCCAAGTGCACACAGACCTCTGAGCACAACCCCAACCTTACAATCGCTCCCAGGAACAAAGACTGTGGGAGCTTTCATTATAGGCAATTACCCTGGGTTCTGGGAGCTGGCCCGCCCACCCGTCCATCCGCTGTCTCCAGCTAAATGGACCCTTTGGCAGCTTGGCAGGAGGGGGGCGGGAACCTGCAGGCAGGAGGGGAAATTGATGGGCTGGGCCAGGAGACCCTGTGAGTCTCCAGTGCTACTGTGATTTGTCTTTCTCTCTCTCCAGTTTTTACTTTTTTCAATACCTAGATGGCTCTGCCATTAACTGGCTGTGTAACCTGGAGTGAACCTCTCCACCTGGAGTGAACCTCTCCTGTCTGGGTCTAGCTTCCATCACAGGTGAAGAGAGACATGCTCCAAGGCTCAGATCAGTCTGATGGCCTAGGGATGTGAGGCATTTGCTGCTACTGCTCGTGCGATCTTGAGCTCTTGTGGATCTGCAACCCCTCAGGTGGGTGCTGGGGATAGGGCAGGGTGGGGTACACTCAGAGAGAGCAGGAGACCTCATTCTGGCTCCTGGAGGTGCATGACATGATGGGAACAGTCATCATTTACTACTGTCAATTAAATGTCTGCCCAGGTACACTCATGCCAATGAGTTGATTGGTTTCTTGTAAGACATTAATATGGATCTGGGTTTTTGAAGTAGGGAATGTAACATATTGGTAAGAAAGTAATAGGACATTCTAAAGAGCAGAGGATCAAATGTTCTATTGAATAACATCATATATGTAAAGATCTAAGCACAGCATCTGGTCCAGAGCAGGTAGACAATAACCAGTATTAAGAATAGGAAGAGCTGGGCCGGCCCCGTGGCTTACTCAGGAGAGTGTGGCGCTGGAAGCACCGAGGCCACGGGTTCGGATCCTATATAGGGATGGCCGGTGCGCTCACTGGCTGAACGTGGTGCAGACCACACCGTGCAAGGGTTGCGATCCCCTTACTGGTCAAAAAAAAAAAAGAATAGGAAGAGCTGGGCCGGCCCCGTGGCTTACTCAGGAGAGTGTGGCGCTGGAAGCACCGAGGCCACGGGTTCGGATCCTATATAGGGATGGCCGGTGCGCTCACTGGCTGAACGTGGTGCAGACCACACCGTGCAAGGGTTGCGATCCCCTTACTGGTCAAAAAAAAAAAAGAATAGGAAGAGCTTGCTGTCAGGACTATTATTGCCATTATTATGATGCAATGGCGAGTGAGGCAGTACTGGCCATATGGACCAAGAACCCCAGTCCCAGGAACGTTGAGGAACGCAGCCTATCTCTGTGATCTCAATCGGCACTGCACTTGTATCTGCACCTGTCTCTGCCTCCCCAAACATGGCTAGGCCTCCATGTCTGCCCTCACTTCCCAGCCTGGATGGACAGTATCCTCTATGCTGGAAGTCGGACAGTGCTTGAACCAGACAGAAGAAAACCACAAGGGTGACACCAATAACCTTACACTCCCGACACCACTAACCCTACCCTCCTAACTGAAGTCCGACCAAAGGCCCACCTGAGCGGGGGAATGAGAGAACTGTCAGGGAAAGAAAACACTTGGCAGCTGGAAAAAGGCAGCCACGGCCGTGGTGAAGCTGCTGTGGCTCTTTTCCAGGAGAGCAGAGGGGAATGAAGTTGAAGATGTGATGGAATAAGATGTGTGAGACAGGGGCTCTGGAGAGCAGATCAAGGGGCATTATGCCTTCTCTGGGTCCAGGGAGAAGGGGGCTAGCTGGAGGTGATGGATGGCAGGAGATAGGCTTTGTTGGGAAGACCACACCCAGACTCTTGAAAAGAGATGGATGTGGAGGATAGGGCAAGGGAAAAAGTGGCTGACAGATTCATACCCTGGAGAAGCAGGTCAGGTACAACCAGGGTGAAGACCGGGAGGAGAACAGGTAGTCTCTGATTCTGCATTCAGCTGGGGCTTTGCAGAATGCCAAGGGCCCAGGGGACGGGGTAAGATTTCCACGAAAGCAGGATGTCTGTAGATTCTAGGAAGCAGATGGCAACTCCTCGGCTGTGAAGCTTGGAAGGGGTGGCCCAGCCTGGCCCTTGGCAGAGCTGCACATAACAGCAGCTCTAGTCTCTGCAGGTGGGCTGGGTTCCTGCCCATCTGCCTGCAGCATCTAGAGGTGTCTTGGTCCTAATCTCACCCTTGACTGAGCCATGACCCTCCCTTCAATCCTAATCCAGGGCCTGAAAGAGGAAGGGTCTAGGGGTGGAGTAGTGAAGAAAACCCCTACTGGGGAGGTATGACACATTTCCATTTAGAATGCAAATATGCAATAAATGTTTGCTGAATAGAGGAAGCATGGTTCTGTTTAAGTTGCGTTGAAACATTCGAACTAAAAAATTCTGACCTTTTTGGAAAATGTCAGGTTCTAAATATACCAGGGACTAATAGGGTGGATAATGTAAAATCTTAAACAATTTAATGCCTAGACACTTTTTCCCATAGAATGAATTCAAAATGAAGGGAATCAGGTAGGAGGAGAAAGTCAAAGAATCACCAGGAAAATATTTTACTAATTGAAAAAAGGCCATTCAAAGGAAGGTCTGCCCTACATGTCTGCTTCTTGAGTTCTCTCATCAGCTTCAGAATCTAAGTTGAGAAAGTCATAAGGGACAGAAGTGAATTGACCTTTAGAAAAAGGAATATCTGTGCACGTTCTGGGCAGTATAGTTAGGCAGAAGGGATGCTTTGAGGGGTCACCTGCATAAGAACTCCCTTTGGCCGCGGACTCAGCTGAAATTCTTGCAATAAGAGGGAGTTCACTGCCTTCCAGTCAATTTGTAATCCTCTAGTTGTTGGAAAGTTCTTCCTATTGAGCCTCAAATCTGTCTTGAACTAACTTCTAAAAACCATGACGCTGAGTCAGCTCTTTGGAGCTGCCCCAAGTAAATCTAATTCATCTTACAACATGACAGTCCTTCAAATATTTGAAAACAGTTCTCAGACTCCCTCTAAGCCTTCCCTTTCCAAAATAAACTTCTCCAGTGCCTTTAATCATTCTTATAACACCTTTTTTGGATCCCTCAACAACCTGTCAGTTTTCCTCTAAATGTGTTTTTGTGTGTTGATGTACTCTTTTTTTTAAGCTGGCCAGTATGGGGACCCGAACCTTTGACCTTGGTGTTATAACACTGCACTTTTACCAGCTGAGCTAACCAGCCAGCCCTGGGTCACTGTCCTTTTAAAATGTGGATTTCATAACTGAATGTAACACTCTACATGAGGCCTGAACATGTGTGTGCAGAATATAGTGGGACTCCAGGACCCCAAATACCTATTATTGTAATATAAGATTGCATTAGATTTTTCAGAAATCAAGATACACTCAAGTTGGCTTCTAGTGAAGGATAAAGCTCCTAGTCATGCCTACTCCAACTGCTCTGATGCCTCAGAGGCCTCCGGTGTCCAGGGAATGATGTACAAGCTCTTCTACCCCCAAGTATAAGGGAGAGTTTCTCTTCACATTAGCATAGGAAAAAGAAACATAGGAAGTTAGTTTAGTCAGGAAGGTACTAAATTTGCATTTGGGCATTTCTAATTGGTATAATAATTAGTAATTAAAATTTGGTTTACTTAATGTGGTCATTTTAGGAAACAGTTATATTTTTATTAAAAAAGCAGAGTTGACTAAGTGTTTGTTTTTCTATGCACTCAATTTACCATGTCTGAAAAAAGCTGGGGAGACCAGCTTGTTGACCACGTTGTCATGAATACGGGCCCAGCCGACACAAGGTGTTATGACAGCCACAGGGACAATGCAGTTAGTCTAACTCACAGTCGGAGCAAATGTCTCACGCGAGTTGTGCAAGACTGATTTACCTACCTACCTACCTACCTATGTATCTAGCTGCCTAAGCATCCACAGTACCCTAATATATTGTTTCATCATTTCCCAGAGAGCAGGAAAACTGGTCATTTTAATGACTCCTAGTACCTGAAAGTGAAAAGAGTTTTCCTCACACACTATGCCCTGCTACTTCATGATGTTCTAAATTGCCAATGGATTTTACTTTGCACATTTTCATTCCATATCCCCATAGATACTGGATAAGTAGAGTTGTGTGAACTCTCTCTTTTTAGATTCCTCTGGGCATTTATAAGCCTCTATTAGTTGTGGAGTCCCCAGAGTTTGAGAAAGGCCAGAGCTTGGACTCGGGTTTCCTTTTGCGTTCCCAGTTCCATCTCAGCTCTCCATTTCCCAACTTTGCACGCCTCCTCCTGCCTGACTTCTTTTTCTGTACCCTGGGGCCTCCGGTCTCCACCAGCCCCTCATCATCAAGCCCCTCTCCTCTTTGGGCTTGTCTCTTGGTCCCAGCACCATCCTTCCCTCCCTTCCTCCCTGCCTGCTCACCCAGCTAACCTGTACTGGAAGGGGGCCACGGTGGCTGTGACCGGCTGACTCTGTTGATGGACCGAGGAGAAGCTAATGGCTGCCGGGGTGGAGGAGGCGTGTTTGCTCTGCGCTGGGCTGCAGACCGGAGAGGTAGGCCGTGAAGCTGCCCTGTCATCAGGCTCCAGAGACCTGGGGATCCCAGAAGTTTTGTTGTTTATATCTCTCTGGTCTTTTCCGGGGCAGCTAGTAGGCTTTCGACCTTCAGGAGGGCCTGGTATTTGAGTTTCTCCATGAGAGCTTGTCCGGGATGGGCTCCTGCCCCGGGTCTGGTGAATTGGAATCCCTTCCTGGGCCTTCTTCTTTCCCTGGGTGCCTTGTGTCTCCCCAACTCTTCTGGACCCAGCCCGGCTGGAAAGAGCTGCTTTGGGGGTTATTCTGGGACTGCTCCATGGGGAGCCAGAGAGGCCTTCACCACACTCAGCTGACTCCCTCACTGCCACAGCAGTCTTGGGGGAGCCTCTCCCCTGGGAGGCCTTGGGAGAGGAGTTTCTGGAAAGGCCCGCGGTCTTGCCCAGTCTTGGGGAGGCTGCTCTCTGGGGGCTCAAAGCCAGGCCAGCCTGGCGTGGACGCAGCTGGGGAGAAGCTCCCGGTGTATGAATCCTGGTCTGGGAAGAAGCTCGAGGCACAGGGATGGAGGAGGCATAGTGGGGGCGGCTGGCAGAATTCACATTGGCCATCCCATTCATGGTCAGCAAGGCTGGAAATGTGGGCTACTGTCCTGCAGGGAGAGGGGAGAGAAGACCGTTAGCACTGTCCCTCATTTCTTCCCCTGAGTGTATAAAGATAATGTTGGGGTCAGTGGAGGGACATGAGCACCCAGACTGGACACTGCGACTCCCGGGCTCACATCCTGACTCTGGGCAAATCCCTTTACTCTCTGCTCTGAAAGGCTGTGGGGAGGCTCATCAGCAAGCACATAAGTGAAAGTGCTTTGTGAATTGCAAGGCGCTGTACAAATGGGCATCATTTAACTTTCCTTGACTGTTTCTGTCCGTTGATTGGGGGATAGACTCTCCTTCCCACAGCCCCCTGCCTCTGACATCTTTCACGGTGCATGAGTCTAG